CTAGGGTACACAGGGTACACATGGGTACACAGGGTACACATGGGTACACAGGGTATACATGGGTACACAGGGTACACATGGGTACACAGGGTATACATGGGTACACATGGGTACACAGGGTATACATGGGTACACAGGGTACACATGAGTACACATGGGTACACAGGATATATATGGGTACACAGGGTACACTGGGTACACATGGTACACAGGGTACACAGGGTACACATGGGTACACATGGGTACACAGGGTACACATGGGTACACATGGGTACACAGGATATACATGGGTACACAGGGTACACGGGTACACGGGGTACACATGGGTACACAGGGCACACATGGGTACACAGGGTACACATGGGTACACGGGGTATACATGGGTAGACAGGGTACACATGGGTACACAGGGTATACATGGGTATACATGGGTACACAGGGTAAACATGGGTACACAGGGTATACATGGGTACACAGGGTACACATGAGTACACAGGGTGCACATGGGTACACAGGGTATACAGGGTAACAGAGAGTCTATATGGAGACTGGGTAACAGGGAGTCTATATCGAGACTGGGTAACAGGGAGTCTATATGGAGACTGCCATGAATTACTTGCTGTATTTTTCATATATGAAAAAAGATACAGGCGCGCAAGGCATCTCAGTTAGAAATGGGCCTTTAAGTCCCTTTGTCTTGGATAAGTATGACAAGTATCCAAAAGTTTTCTTTTTGGAATATTGCTTGATTATTTCAAATTATTATAATTAGAGATATGATAGATGTGCGTAAAAGTTGTATGATACCACAGAAGATTTCAGAATAAATGTTAACAGTTATGAAATCATGTTCCTAATATTTGGATCTGTTCACTAAATTTGAAATACCATAACTACAATTTATTAACTAGGTTTTTACTTTCCTCCAGAACAAAAGAGTACTTTTGAACTTGAATGACTGCAACATGTTGCACAGACCCACTGCTAATCAAAGTTTTGTTATATACTCAACTAAATGTCTTGTTTCCTATTGGCTTATGATAATTGAATAAAAAGATCATTGCACTTTCTCAAAAGTTTAAAAAACATGTTAACTTTCTCAATATTATGAAAAACATCAAGCTTGATTTGTCTGTAACAGTCTCACTGGAACAAATATTTTGTTCAGTATTGTAAGTGAAAATATTTGAGCATTATGTAAACCATTGAAATATATTTCAAGTGGCGTGCATTTAAGATGTACAAAGGTCTCAGTGTTAGAAAGGTTTCTTATCCTTGGTTTGTTAAACATAAAATAAGTGTTTAGAAGCTTTGTTATTTTACTTGATGATTATCATGATTTTTGAAACAGGGAAATTGTATAATAACAGTAAGTTACAGAGAGGGAGCCAGCAGTTGATAGACGACATCTGTTGTCAGCCGAAATTCACACTCCAAGTTTTTATTCAAGCATTCTCACACGTTGGTAATAAACACACAGCTTCTGTAGTACACTCAAGTATATAAAATTAATTATCTTTTACAAATCTGAACAAGTTCAGTGACTGTGATGTTTAAACATCTTTAAATAATTAAGGGCAGCAATCTTTTTGGAAATTGTGTTTAAAAATATGTTTAAACAGTCTTCTGTTACTATACTTTCTGAACAGAGTGCATTCAGAGAACTCGATCACAAGAAAGGTATGCTGAAATTTTCTAATTTTCTGATATAGTTTTGCTGATTTATTTTATTTCAAGGTACCTTAATGAGGCTGATTTGTCTTTTCACTTGTACCTCTAAAACTTATTGATATGGTTTTCATCTTTAATAAGTGTAATTTTTATAGAACTATAAATGCAATCTGTTTGCATTGTAATCTTGAAACCCCAGATTACCTGATGATTTCATAAATATTTCAGGTAGATTTTTCTATACAAGCCTTTGTCTAGTGGTTATGTGCACACATCCATACCTTTGAATATTTTGAATAATCTTTAAAACTGTTTCTTGAAACTTAATACTGTTGTTAATGGACCATCAAGACTATTACCAACACTTGCCTTCTAGTAAAGATAAATGATATTGCAGTTGATATTCGTAAATAAAATTTTCAACCTTAGAGTATCTACTTTACATGAACAACTTGTTGAAGACAATACCTACATTTTGATTGTACAGTGGAATCCCGATTTCTCGAACCCTCGGTTTCTCAAACCTCCCGATATCTTGAACTAAACCTTGTTTCCCTTGGATTTGCTTCACTTGTAATTTCACCCCTGATTTCTCGAACTCCCAATTTTTCAAACCAATTTGCATTTCCCCTGGAGGTTCGAGAAATCAGCATTCCACTGTATTTCAACTTTCTATGTGCAAACCTTAAAAAATTACTGCAGCTTTAAAAGTAGCATTCTTTAATGATAACTTAAAATATCACCTATTTTTGTGACTGTAATGATACAAAGATATTCTCTTTTAGAGAATTTTACTCTCATGGAAAATACATACTCCTTGAGTTAACAAACTCCTTTAAATTACATTGTAAATACAATTCTCTTTTTAAAAAGTGACAGTGATCCATTTGCAACTTAAAAAAAATTGTCACACAATCCATACTTTTGTGATAGAAACTGCTCCTTCAAAACATAGACATTTAACTTTGAATGTGAACAATGTTTGTCAGGTTATGTATAAATGACAAATCTCTTTTGGGGTCGTATAATTGGCAGTGTGACTCTCCTTACTACTTTTCATCCTTTTTAAACCAGTCTGTGTGGAAGAAGGTAGGTCTTG